ATCGAGGGCATAGGCTACTTAAGTTGGTTTTTTCCTTTTTTTTTTTTTTTCATTAAGTCTATCCTTGAATATGTAAGTTTGGGAACTAAAATATACATATATTATAAGTTTAGGGACTAAAATATACACATTTGAACAGGTTTAATAGACTAATTGATGAGAAAACAAAAAGTGCATTTTTTCAAGTTAAGGGACAAAAATTATGCAAAACCCTTAAGCTGAGGGACTAAAATTGGCATTTAATCAATGTTTAAATAACAAAATAATAATAGAAATGTAATATGCTATTGTCATAATCTAAGAAAAATTGATTATCTAAGGCCATGAAAAGCAATGGCAGCACTAGGGAAAAGAGAAGAAGAATGGGAAAAATAAAAAGGGCTTTTATCTGTGTGATATTACTAAAATCCATCATAACTATGTGGGTAGGGTCTTCATATGCAAACCAATTTGATTGATTTGATCCAATCCAAACCAATCCAATTAAAAATTGATTAAAATTGTTATTTAATGATATTAATTTGGATAAAAAAAATTATAAACCAATTAAATTGGTTTGATTTATGATTTTATTGAAAGAATTAATTTTTTTAAAAGATTTTTCCCATTCTTATCTTCTCATCATTTATTCATCTTAACCCTAAAATTGTGTTATACAATATTTCTATGTATTACTAATTCATTCAATTTCCCTTTTTTTTTTTTTTTTTTTGTATAATTGAATTTAAGAAAGGAAGAACAATATAATCAAACTCTCAAAACCAATCAATCTGATTCGAACTATTATAATCCAATAATAGTTGGATTGGTTTGGTTGTAGTATATTAACTGGATTGGATTAATTTGACATTTTTTCAATCTGATTAAATTGGATTGGATAAAAAAAAAGGTCAAAAATTGATCCATTCGAGCTATGAACACCCCTAGACATGGGTAAAAGTTGAATAGCATTTACCTATATAAGATACAATGCTATCTAGAGACAAAAGACAATGGAGTAAAATATACCAATGTACAACACATTGCTACATAAAAAATGGTGGATTGCATTTTACCTAACCATATTCCACTGACAATGTAAATACTTATTCCCTAGCTATACCTTCCCTTTCGCAGAGTCAACAAAATGGACATGACCATTTTGTTTTGTCATTTCTTTAAAATGACTTGCATTTTACCAACAAAATTTAAGTATGATTTTACCATACATTGATCAATACATGTATGTTGAACCTGTAATTAAAGTATAATTATAAATTAATAATTGAATGATATTTTACTTCACATCTATAATTCCAAAGAAAATATAGTTTAGCACAATTATGCAATTTGGCATCGCACTTTATATTTTACACCAAAAAACAATGCAAATGTACCAAATAGTTTACCAATCCAACCATATGAACATGTATACAATCAGTCAATCCCCCTTAGACACAACAAGTTATAGGACAGTGATTGATATATTTTCCAATTCAACATATTATACAATGCACTAATTTAAAAATTATTATTTCTTAGTCTAAATTATAGACAAATAAACTTAAAAATATAGCTATGCATATAACATATAGGAATTGGTTGAATCAACTGTACCTATGTTATATCTTAATGGCTGAATTAAACATGTGTCAGGAGGTGTACCAATCATTTTCCTAAGTCCTAGTAACAACAACCATAGCAAACAATAATAAAACATTTTGAAAATTAACTTACATTGTTTACAAACAAATATACTAATAATCTTAAGGGTTGAATCCACTAATAAACAGGTTGTAGGCCAGATTCATGGTTCAAGTCTTAGGATCAACACACAGGGAAATTAATTTCCTTGAATGCACTAGGTCAATATGGGGGGTGTGCCCTTAAAGTCACTCAGGAAGGAATTGGTCTTGAGGTGTTTGAGGACACTTTGATAATAAATACCAAAAAATAAAAATACAAATATACTAATATCTAATGTAATTACTAATTTATAATATTTAATATAACATTATTTTTGTAGTTTGTCCTTCAATATTACACAATTGATAAATTATTACTTTTCGTTTAACACAAGTATTCAAAGTGAACATTCAAAATATTGATACTGTTATATTAATTGTCAAAATAATTTTGACTTTTCATTTATCAACAATCAAACACTAAAAATAAAATAATATTATTAAAATATATAAAATGTAAAGTAATTAGTAAAAGAAAAATAGAGGCACTAATGTAATATCTATTGTTTATTTCCTAAGTTTGAAAGTTAGGTGGAGTTGGTGGTTAAACCTACAAGTGAAAATTAGCTTTTTTGCCACGTTGTTGTTTATAACTTTTAACAATGTGGTATATGTCAGTATACGTTGAAAAGTAATTGGTGCCTAGAAAAGTTATGATAACATTTTCCATGTCCATGTTTAATAAATTCACTTATGTGATTTGTGTTGAAAATTTAATTTATAGCTGAAAATACATGGTAACATAATCCACATAAGTGATTTTTGTTTTAGTAACGAAATATCACATTACTGATTGTAAAGGTAGCATTTATTGTTTGCGTTAACCGATCTACCATTTGGCATTATTAAGTATGTATGCGAAAGTATACATCACCCACATGTCTACTCATGTTGCTGATTTTTCCTTGTTCAAACTCTACACTCTAGTAGTGATATTTATTGCATATGTTTTTAAAAATATATGTAGCTACAATAAAAAATCTATATATAGTAATTAAAGTTTGCATTATTCATTAAAATAACATATCCCCAATTTAGAGAAACCCTTTGACATGACACCTCCATTTCAATTTAGATAAATCCTCATAATCTCTTAAACCCGATAAGGAAAATCAAGAAAAAAAAAATAAAAAAAGATCAAGTTAGTTCATGTTTTGCAAATGAAGATAGAGAATGATCAAGAAATTAAGAATGAGTTAAAGAGAATGTTGGGATAGTGGAACAACTAGTTTGTATTTGTTGAACAATAGACAAATTAAAGAAGGATATATGTATGAGAATATTTACTGAGAACAATTCATGCTATTAGAGATGGGGAAACTAAGATGAGTCTTGCAAATGATGGGAAGAGCTCTAATTCTTGATGCATCCATTTACGAAATCTTCTCCATGAACTCAATGCAAAAGCAAAGCCTCTGCGGATTGCCCTCATATTTTTTGGCAATCTTTTTAAGTTTATTTATGCCATGACAACATTCTGTTGGAACATCGTCACTACCATCCACTAGATATGCTACGCAGGGAGGGAAGCACATGTCCACAACCAAGCAAAAGGGAATGAAAAGGACTCTTAGAGCTGTGGCTGCCTCAGAAGCTAATAGTAACAGCAAAAATATTGAAAGCATGCCATGGTGAACCATTGCTTGATCATGAGTTGAATAATTTTGCGAAAAGTACCCTTTATTTAGGCATAATTTTATATGCATGAACGAGAACATGCATATTAGGTGAATAATTAATCACGATTTTTCTTTCCTTGGAATGAAACAATTGTGTTCTCGGAATTTGGTATTGTTGTTTATTTGGGACTCAAGGATGAGTTAATTGTTGGTAACTGATTTGAAATTCCACAGGTTTATATACCTTTCAAATATTAGTTTAGTTTAGTTTAGTTTAGTTTTTTTTTTTTTGGTACATTTGGAGTTAATTGTCTTGGTGATGCAAATGTTTATATCTAAATTAAGATTTTTAAATTATATAAATATTAACTCGACCAAACTTTTGTTGGTAAGAGATTAATTTGCTAATGATCTGTAATCTGCATTGTTTGGTAAATTTCTTTTAAGAATTATATTCTTACATAAAAAAAATTATTATAAATCAATATTTATCATCTTAATCTTTAAAAAATTAGGAACAAAAGTAACTTAAACCTACATAGTTCATTAAATAATAGTAGAAAAAGACTAAAATAGTTTATTTTTATTTTAAAAAGGTTAAATAGCCTTTTTGGTCCCTCTACTATAGGAAAAAGCCCCTTTTTGGTCCCTGTACTGAAAAAATCCCCTTTTTCATCCCTAAATTTTAAAATCCTGCCCCTTTTTAGTCCTTCTGTTAATTTTTGCTCACGTGGCATATTAACTTAACTGGAATGGCTGATGTGGATATGCCAACATGTCAAAGATGCTTACATGGACTTAATGACACCCTCCATGTCACCTTCTCCCGCGCGGAAAATTAAAAAAAAAAAAGGTTAAATACTAAATTTGATTCCTCAACTTTATAAGTTTGCACTTTTTTGGTCTTAAATTATTTTTTTTTCATTTTCTTTTATCTTTTAACTCTAAAAATTACACAATTTTAGTCATTCCATCAGTTAAATATGATGTGAAAATTAAATAATTTCATTTGACATTTTCTTTTAATTTTTTTTATGACATGACAATTATATATATTATATTTATAGTATATAGATAAATAAAAATGTCATGTAAATAAATATTTATATTTTAATTAAAAAATGAAATTACATTACTACCGTCATCTCCTAATCCCTCTTATTCCCCTTCTTTCTTTCTCTTTCCTACCCAGATCCCTCTTCTTCCCCTTCTTTCTTTCTCTTTCTTTCTTTCTTACCCAGATTGGTTGGGTTCTGATGAGCTGGGTAGCTGGGTTCCGATGAGCTAGGTAGCTGGGTTCGACGAAACCCAGATCTGCTGGGTTCCGTCGAACCCAGCTTTGCTGGTCACCCGAACCCAACCTTGCTAGGTTCGTCGAAACCCAACTGCTGGGTTTTACGTGACCAGCAAGGCTGGGTTTCAACGAACCTAGCCTTGCTGGTTGCGCGAACCCAACCTTGCTGGTCGCGCTTGCTGGTTTCATTGAAACCCAGCCTTGCTGGGTTTCATTGAAACCCAGCCTTGCTGGGTTTCAACACTGGGTTTATGTTTGTTCATTCTTCTTTTGATTTTCATTTTCGGTTCTTGATAAATTTGAGAGTTGATTTACAATTTGATTGCATTTTTGTTGGAATTGGATTAGAGTTTGATTGCATTTGTATATTGAAGGGTTAATTTGATTTGGTGAGATCTATTGGCTTGATGAACTCAGTGGCTTTAATGAAACTAGTAATTGGGTTCGATGATAGAGAACTCAAATTTTGCTCTAGAGCATTGTAGGGTTCATAGTTTTTTTGTAGGTTTTAGTGAGTTTGATTTGTGAGAGTATGAACTCTCAACATCATAACATTTAACCTTTTATGGGTCCACCAGCAGCTGGGTTTCGACGAACTCAGCCAATCTAGGTAGGAAAGAAAGAAAGAGAAAGAAAGAAGGGGAAGAAGAGGGATTAAGAGGTGAGGGTAATAATGTAATTTTATTTTTTAATTAAAATATAAATATTTATCTGCGTGACATTTTTATTTATCTATATAACATAATTATAATATATATAATTGTCATGTCATAAAAAAATTAAAAAAAATGTAAAGTGAAATTATTTAACTGTCACATCATATTTAACTAATGAAAGGACTAAAATTGTGTAATTGTTAGAGTTAAAAGATAAAAAAATAAAAAAATAATAATTTAAGACCAAAAAAGTGCAAACTTATAAAGTTGAGGAATTAAATTTAGTATTTAACCTTTTTTTTTTTAAATTTTCCGT